CTTTCCCTATCCTAGCAGGATTGAAGCCCTCCTCACTGTGTAACCCTCATTTCTCTTCCCTGCCTTTTGTGGAAGCCCGGGGATTCTTCCCTTTTGGCCTGGTCATGTTCTGACCCCATGACTGGTCAGGATTTGGGAGGGCAGTCTTGTGCTGGGATTCTGATTCAGTTGGGACTCACCTGGGGCATCGTTGATAGTGGATGATGGATGGGGATAGTGATGGGGACAGTGGTTCCGTGAACCTCAGAGCTGGGATGACAAGTGTATAATGTTATGTAATAGATTAGGTGTGGTATACAACCTGATGGGCTTCTGGTTTTATTTTTGCTCTGTCAAACACATGAGCTAGAATGACAAGGGACACATCACACCAAGTATGGCTTCTTCCTGTCACCCAAAGCCCTCAGGCTACACAGACATGTTTCTTACTATGACATTTGCCCAGGAAATTCTCATGACTACTGACAATTGCCTCAGTGTTTAGCTATCACCCTTGAGTCTGAAGAAAGGGCAAAAATGAAATAGAAAATGAAAATCAAGGGTTGCCTCTCTGTCCCTTTGTTCACTACACTTTAGTTTTTGGAGTAAAATAAACCGTAGTTCTTAAATTCACAGGCTCTAGACTCAGGACTTCTGTGTGCTCAAACTCCACCTCCACTACCTATAGCATGAAACCTTGGGCAAGTTACTGAATCTTTCTGTTCCTCCTTACGCATCAAGACAGTATAAGTCACCAGCATAATTGCAGACTTGAGAACTGGCCCTGAGACTGGGAGGGAGCTCTAAAGAAGTCTGAGTTGACCAGCTGTGACCCTGTTTCCTAAATTCATAAAAGATCTAAGTTTAGCTTTTCAGTCCATCAGCTGCATATATGAGTGATTTTCCCCTTATCAGTGGGATTGCTTTTGTTCCTGAAGGCTTGCCATCTCCTTAATCCAGAGTTGGCCTTTTCAGGAGACACTCAGGGCTTGCTTCTGAGGATTTCTGCTCCTCAGTTTATCTATAGAATTGGGAGACTATTAGACCCCTTTTCCTGGGGTTGTTGTGAAGCTAGAGATATTCCATGGAAAGCTCCATGCATGTAACTAGGATTAGTTTTTTTGTTTTTTTTTTAAGAGTTTTTTTTTTTTTTTGCTATAGGGCGCGTGTGGTCACCAGAAAGACAGAGAGAGGCAGGGAGATGGTAAGGGAGAAATCACCTCCCAGGGGGAATAGCCACGCTGCAATCTCTTCTTCTTCATTCTCCTCTCAGGATCTTGGGCACACATGCACATGCGCCTGGTGTGAGTTTAAGCCACCGGGTCTGGGACTTGAATTGCAGTCGACTACGTGGGAGTCCAATGACATAGCCATTATGCCAACTGCTGTTCCCTAGGATTAGTGTTACTGTGTGCTAAAGTCCAGAGATACATGGGAACCGTGTCCTCGTGGACTTTATCCTTCTGGTTGGGGAAAAATACATTAATTAAATAATCATACACACATAAAATTACCTACACAGGAACCTGACCTTGTGTAAGGGGTCAGAAAGCTTTCCCAAAGGATAATTCAAATTCAGACCTGAAGAATGTCCGTATTTACTGTGTGAAACCAGGCAGGAAGGGCATTCTAGTCTAAGCAGAGGAGATGGTACAGAGTCCCTGTGGTTCTCAGGTATGAGGGGTCACTGAACACTTGAAAGACAGAAAGGAGGCCAGTGGCAAGGTCCCAAGTGCAAGGAGATGACCAGGGTCAGAGACCGGTAGACAGACCCCATGCACAGAACTTGGTCCCTGCTTAGCATTTTTATCCCTAGTGTAAAAACAAGGGAAAGATATTGTAGGGCTTTACGGAGCGCAGGGATGTACTCCAATCACATTTTCCAAAGATCACTGTCACTAAGTGGAGACTAGTTAGGAGCGGAGCTGATTGTGTTGTTCATATTTCTGTCTTCGACATACCTCCACTAAAAGATTATAAAGCTCCTTGAAGGCAGAACCCTATCTTATACATCTTGATATCTCTTTAAAATATTTAGCAGAGTACTTTTCATATAGCAGATGTTTTATAAGTGTGTCTCGCTTGTTGATTATATACTGGCTTGAGGACCCCTATACTGAGCCTGTTGATGATAATTGTGAATATTCCGGAGCTGAGAACCACTAATAACCATCCTGAATAGCTGTAATTGAGAGATTGGAAGAGCTATCAAGGTGGTAAGCAGATCGGCGGCAATGAATGGTGTGAGAGAAATGGAGTAAAAGAAAATTGCTTCTTTACCTGCAGTTCAAATATTGTAAAGGCAAAGTGGGACCTTAAGACAAAGGACTTACTGGGACCAGCAGGTGGCATGGTGGTTAATGTGCTGGACACTCCCACATGGCCGACCATGGTTCAAGTTCTGAATCTGATGGCTTGCTTTCTCACTTCCTCTCTCTCTCTGGTTAAATTAAAACAAATGAATAAATAAATAAAATAAAATAACTCTTTAAAATAAAAAAGACAAAGGACTTACTCATCTTCCTTCACTTTTGGAGTCTGAAGCTTGCCTGAGTACAAACGCTGTTTTCCAGTTTCTGCTTTGACTTTGGGCTTTTGGGAGTTACATCACAGCCAGTTACGGCTGAATCAAAGCATTCTGACCTTGGAAACACCCAAGTCATGTTATCTGTCAGGTCAACTGGAGTTTAGACTCCAACCCGGATATGAAATGTTCCAAATTATTGGGTGTGCATGTGCGTTTGTGTTTATAGCCATGTTGTACATGCCATGTCTCCTATGTGTAGAAGCTCATGCAGTTGTGTGTGATTTCGCACTATAGATGCCTTGGAAATTGCTAAGTTATTTTACACAGTGAACTGAAGCTTTTGTGCTTATAAATGTGTAACAGCTTCAGGCTTCTGAGTCTTAGTGAATGTAAGCACTTGGCACTGTAGGGTGTAGAACTCTCTCCCAGCTTGTCTTTCAGCTCCAGATGAACAGATTCAGTAAAACTAAAGATTTAAGTAGCACAAGAAAAAAAAAATCATTGTTTTAGTGTATCCCAAATATGGAAATATAGAAACCATTGTTCATGACTGTGCAGGTAGAGAAGAGCCAGATTGGGGAATCAGCAGTTAGCGTAATGGCTATGTCGCTGGACTCCCATGTAGTCGACCGCGGTTCATGTCCCGGACCCGGTGGCTTAAAACTCACGCCGGGCGCGTGTGCGTACGTGCCCAAGATCCCGAGAGGAGAATGGAGGAGAAGGGATTGCAGCGTGGCCATCCCTCCTGGGGGATGATTTCTCGCTCTCTGTCTCTCTGTCTCTCTCTGTCTGTCTGGCAAGCGCACGCACCCTATAGCGAAAACCTCTCCATAACGAAACAAAAAAAATAAAATAAAAAATAAATAAAAGAGAAGAGCCAAATTACACTGAGACCTCCAGCTATAATTCTTTCAAATAGGTATTGATAGGGAGGGTGGTCAGAAGATGTCTGAGTCAAGTGGTCAATCAAAAGCAAGATTTCTCTAGGATCTTGAGGTAGGGAAAAAATCCCTATGAAGGTTTTAGGAAGGATTGGAAGTTGGGAATTATGTTTCTTACTAGCAGTCTCTTTAAATTTGTGCTGTCACTTCTTGGCCATTGGTAACTGTGATTGATTGTCTGTCTTCTCTAGCTTGGAATTGCCATTGGGTTCTTAGTGCCTCCTGTTTTGGTACCCAACATCAAAGACCAGGACAAACTTGCCTACCACATCAGCATCATGTTCTACATTATAGGAGGTGTGGCCACTCTCCTTTTCATCCTTGTCATCATCGGTAAGGTCATTAGTAGACAGATGGGGTTGGGGATGAGATGGGGAGGGTGGTGACTATGGTGACTTTGATGGGGCCTTGTGAACATAGCCCTAAGGTACTATAGACATTTACAGAAACTGGAGGCTGGGCTTCTGTGGTCTTCGAATATTTGTTTGTTTTCTTTTATTTATGACAGCATGTATGTATATTGCTTGTGAGAGAGAGAAAAAGAGAGAAGCATTTTCTACAGGGTCTGGTCATGTTGTAGTCCTCTTCCTTCTGTCCTCCAGTCCCTCAAATCCTGGGCACTCATGTGCACACCTGGTGTGTTTTCAGGCTGTCTGGCCATGGATTTGAACCATGTAGGATCTGACTTCTCTTGAGCAGTGTATTACCACAGTACCATGGAGCCACCTCCCGCACCTTCTTTTGAGTTTGCCTACTTATTTCTTCCATGAGAGAGGGAGAGACTGAGAGAGAGAGATGCACCCTTCATGCCATGAAGCCGGCCCAATCATAGGAACACACACATATGCACAGGAGGCCTCAGGCTGTGAACCCAGGACTTTCCCATATGAGTCCAGCATTGCAGAGCATTGTATTACTGCTGTATTACCATCTGGCCCTTCAAATGTTTTAGCCTGAGCATTTGTCCCCATAGAGTGCAGCTGTTCTTGTGCACTTCGTTAGTGACTGAGTAAACGTTTAATTGTAATTAACCAGTTCCCCTGTCCTTTGGGTAGACTTCTTTCCCCTGGAAGAAACCCACTGAGCGCTTAACATTATCACAGACAACACATTAAGCATGCCTGATCTAATTTAGTCCCCAACAACAGGATCAGTTTCATTTAACAAAGAGGAAAACGAGATTGAAGGGAAGTTAAATTATTCAAACTGTGATAGCTAGTAAGTGGCAGAGACTGGGTTCAAATCTAAGATTTTCTAAGACTACACTCTAAATTTCTATGAAACAAAACAGGAATTGACCTACAAGCACTAATAATCTCATAGATTATCATGAGAATACTTGGGTACCACATTTCTTTAATTTTTTAAAAGTATAAGTAATATATGTTCTCTATAGAAAAATCCAGAAAAGTACATAAAAAAATAAAGGATTGGCCATTAATTTATCTTGGTATAAGTTAATCCCAACCACCAACTTGAGGTATTTAGTTTTTTGTTATTTTTCCTTTTTTTGTTTCTTTTTGCTATAAGGCATGTGAGCTCACTGGAGAGACACAGAGAGAAAGAAAGAGAGAGGGAAAGTGAGAAATCACCCCTTAGGGGGTTATGACCACACTATAATCTTTTCTCTTACATTCCTCCTTTCAGAATTTTGGGCATGCATGCACACGCTCTTCGTGTGTTTTTCAAGCTTCTGGGTCTGAGTCTTGAACTGTGCAGTTGGCCATGTGGGATCCAGCCACCTTAACCTCTATGCTGGCCTTTGTTTTCTTTTTTATTAAAAATTTGGTTAATAGAATTTTATATCTTCTTTTTTCATCTGAGTGAGTTATATGAGTTGTGATAAATTCAGCAACAACAGGTTGGAGGTTTTCATTTCTGGTTAGTCACCTGTCTAAAGGATAACCAGCTTACTTCCTAATGCCTAAAAGTTTCACTTCACATTTTTAAGTCAAATAGTCCTTCAAGTCAAACAGTTACTAATCCTATACCTCAATCAACCATTCTCATTATGTCATTCTCTTCGGGGAGTGCAGGATGAGAAAGTGCGCCCACATTTTTAAAAAGATGGCCTTTAAAATCCGGTAGAATGTTTTAGACAAGGCCTTGGTGCTTCTGGAAGGGTGAGAAGCAGTGGTTCTATGGCTGACATCAGGGAAGAATGAGATAACCCGGGGCCTCTTACTCAACCGGACTTTGAGTTTCAGATTATAATATGTCTCACACCAAATTCTTTTTTGTTTGTTTGTGTTTAATTTGCCAGGGGGTGTGCGCTCTTCCCAGAGATAGAGAGAGAAAGAAAGAAAGTGAGAAAGCACCCCTGTCATGGGGAATGGTCCTGTCTCAATCTTTTCTCCCCATCTCTACCTCCTTTTGGGAATTTGGGTGCACATGCACATACACATACCCAGTGTGTTTCTCAAGATGTCTAGGATTCGGGACCAGCTAGTGTGATGGATATGTCGCTGGACTCCCACGTAGTCGACCGCGGTTTGAGTCCCGGATCCGGTGACTTAAACTCATGCTGGGCGCATGTGCGTGCATGCCCAAAATCCTGACAGGAAAAAGAAGGGATTGCAACGTGGCCATGCTCTCTGGGGGGTTATTTCTTGCTTTCTGTCTCTCTGTCTCTCTCTGTCTTTCTGGCAAGCGCATGCTCCCTATAGCAAAAACCTCTCAAAAAAAAAAAAAAAAAGATGTCTAGGACTCAAACCGCCCAGTTGGCCATATGGGATCCAGTCACTGTAACCACCATGTCACAGCTGACCCCCAAATACATTTTTTTTAACTTTACTATAGGGTGATGTTTACTGGAGAGAGAGAGACAGAAAGTGAGAAATTACCCCTCTGGAATGATGGCCATGCCACAATCTCTTCTCCTCCATTCACCTTTTGGGATTTTGGGCATGCACACATATGTGCCTGGAGGGTTTTTCAAACCACTAGGTCCGAGACTCAAACTGCATAGTTTCAGCCATATGGGATCCAGCTACCTTAACCACCATGTCACCAGCTGGCCTTATCAAAATTCTTTAAAACAGGGACCAGCAGATGGCGCTACATTGCTGGACTCCCATATTGTCGACTGTGGTTCAAGTCCCAGATCCGGTGACTTAAACTCATACCAGGCACGTGTGCATGCATGCCCAAGATCCCGAGAGGAGACTGGAGGAGAAGGGATTGCAGTGTTGGCCATACCCCCTGGGGGCTGATTTCTCACTTTCTGTCTCCCTGTCTCTCTCTGTCTTTCTGGCAAGCGCATGCGCCCTATAGCTAAAACCTCTCCAAAAAAAAAAAAAAAATTCTTTAAAACATATGTATTTTTTTTAACTACCGTAGAGTACCATGTGCTTGAGAGATAGAATGTGAGAGAGATAGCACCCCCCACAAAGGGACATGGGCACACTGTAGTCCTTTTTCTCAGTTTCTCCATCCTGTCAGGATTTTGGGTATGTGTGTACGTGTACCTGGCCTATTTTGCAAGCTGATGGGGTAGGATTCGAATGGTAGTTGGCTGTGTGGAATTAGGCTTCCTTACACTGCACTACAAGGTTGGCCCCAACTGCAAATTTCTGTGTTTGTAGAAGTTGAAAGCCTGACTTTTTTGCAGTTGAAAACCTGGAGGCAGGAGGTTTATATGTTTTTGCACTTTATTATCAAGCACAGATAGTAGCTAATTGAGTAAAGAACTGAAAAATCTCATCTGAATTCTGGTTTATGGTTGCCAAACCCTTGAGCTGATCAGCTGAAGCAGGATAAGTCAACTTCTCACCTTGCTTTCTTTCTGCAGGTGGAAGGGGAGGTAAACAAGCGCCAGACAATGGACTAGAGGTTCCCAATGGGTGGAAGTTATCTAGGACTATTTCCGGAGAAGGAAGCAGCAGTGCTTTGAAGTCAGAGTGAGGGCATTTTCTGGGTGGGGGGCCTCTTTGATCTTCCAAGAAAGTAAACCTCATTTTCAGCACTTCCTCTAACTTCCTCAGAGGCCGTCTACTGACCTCTGAGAAGCATTCTCAGGGGTGTGGGGAGGCCATGTAGTACTTGCAATCCTTGCGGCTTAAGTGATTATACCAGTGTACTGAGAATAGCATAAGAAACTGGTTTTCCCACTGCCCCTCCAGCCCTTCCTATCTCTGCTTCCAGATGGGCATGTGTGAACCTTCTTATCTTCCATGCCAGGCAGATGTCTGATTACTCTTTGAGAAACTAGGAATGGATTCCAGATTTCCCTGTAGAAGAATATTCCTTTACTCAATGGGATATTGATAGGTGCCAGGCTCTCTGCAAAACACAACATAGTCCTTCCTCCCTGGAGAGGGGCTCTAGTGCTAAGCCATTAACTGAGCTAACTAATCCCAAATTTAAGCTTTCTCTTCTTTGCCCCCCATGTGTATTTTTCTAGCTCTCTATGGTATGTTATTAGCGGCCTGTTATGGGACTCCTTGATCTTTAAACACTGCTTGGGAGGCCCGGAGATTCTAGCCTTCCAGAGGCCATTAAGAAAAAGTAATCAAAGAACCACTCCCTGAGACTCAGATGGTAAGAAGCAGCGTTGAGAGGGGAGGTTGTAAAGATTTGATTGAAGAGTATTTCCTTGAGTATTTTTAGCTCTTTCTCAGATGATGGAGCCAGCTCTGTTGGAATGGGACCACTAGTATTTTCAGTCCTCTCTGTCTCTTTCCTTTCAGTTTTCAAGGAGAAGCCTAAACATCCCCCCAGCAGGGCCCAGTCCCTGAGCTATGCCTTGGCGTCCCCTGATGCTTCATACTCAAGTTCCATCATTCGGCTCTTCAAAAACCTCAACTTTGTGCTGCTTGTCATCACCTATGGTAAGGTTCTGATGGTCCAGGAGTACATTCGAAGTGGGGCGGGAAGTGTGAGATGAGAGGCTCGCTGTGTCTCTGTGTCTTTCTCTTTCCAAATCTCAAATGTGCATGTAAAGTGGTTACTCAGGGTCAACCAGAAGGACCAGCTATGCTGAGGGATTTTTTTGCATACTATAAAGTTCACTTAGAAAATTATTCTTCCCCATAGCATGTTATCTGGCAACTGCTTATTGATCCTTCAAGTCTCATCTCAATATCCCTCAAAAGCTGTATTAGGTGACCTCTTCCTCTTTTTTATTTTCTTTAAGTTTTTGCTTTAGGGTGCATACATTCACAGAGAGAAAGAGAGGGAGAATGAGAAATTATCCCCCCAGGGGACACAGCCATGCTGTAATCTCCTCTCCTTCATCTTCCTCCTGGGATTCTGGGAACACATGCACACGTTCCCAGCATATCTTCCAAGTTACTATGTCCAGAACTTGAACCATGAGCTTGACCATGTAGGATCCAGCTGCCTTAAACACCATGCCACCTGGCTGGTCCAACCTCTTCCTCTTTTTATTTATTTATTTATTTTTTTGGAGAGGTTTTTGCTATAGGGCGTGTGCGCTCGCCAAAAAGACAGAGAGAGAGACAGAGAGACAGGAAGCAAGAAATCACCCTCCAGGGGGGATGGCCACGCGGCAATCCCTTCTCCTCCTTTCTCCTCTCAGGATCTTGGGCACACATGCACAGGCACCCGGCGTGAATTTAAGCCACCGGGTCCGGGACTCAAACTGCGGTCAACTACGTGGGAGTCCAGCAACATAGCCATCACGCTAACTGCTAGTCCCCAACCTCTTCCTCTTTTATCATGCTATTTATTCCTTGTGCATCTTAACAGTTATCATTTAAAATTTTTTTTTTTTTTTTGGAGATCTATGTCTCCACTAGACAGAATTCCCTGAGAGTGGGGATTTATATTTTTTCATCTTTCCAGTTCTTCATCAGTGGCCAGATTGGAGGGGATACTCCAGTAGTTACTGAATGTACGCATTTATATATGTATAAGTTTTGCTGTAAGAACCAGTCCTTAATCCATTCTCTCTCATCTGGTAACGTTGATTCCTTTTTTGACTGAATGTAAGATGATATCTGTCTTTCATTTCATTTTCTTGTATTTTAGTTTCCTTTTTTTTTTTTTTTTTTCGGTTAGAGGGTGCATGCCCCCAGAGACAGAGAGACAGAGAGAGTGGGAGAAGAAAAAGCACTCCCAGGGAGAATGATCATGCTGCAATCCCTTCTTCTTCATTTCTTCCTCCTTTCAGGATTTTGGGCATACGTGCAAATGGCCCAGCATGTTTCTCAAGCCACTAGGTTGAGGACTCAGCTGCACGGTTGGCCATGTGGGATCTAGCCAACTTCACCATGCCATTTATTGGCCCCCTTTCTTTCTTTCTTGTTGTTTCTTTCTTTTTCTCTTTCTTTCTTTCTTCCTTCCTTTCTTTCCTTCTTTCTTTCTTTCTTTCTTTCTTTCTTTCTTTCTTTCTTTCTGTTCTGTTTTTATCACCCTCCCTAGGGGGGATGGCTATGCCACAATTCCTTCATCTTTGTTCTCTTCTTGGGATTCTGGGCACATACACACATGTTTGAGCATGATTTTCAAGTTGCTGGGTCCAAGAACTTGAACCATCGTTGGCCGTGTGGGAGTCCAGTGCCTTAACCACCATGCAACCTGCTAGTGATTTTTTTGTATCTTTTTTCCAAATTTTAGTAAGATTGTTGGCTCAGACAAGGTCAAGGACAGAGCCTCATGGCATTCTATTAAAGGCCAAGGTCAGATCCTCTAGATAAATACCAGTCTATAAATTGATACTCTTAGTTCAATTAGAGATTCACTAAACTGTACTGCTCTCCAGCCTATATTTGACCATGTAACCCACCAGTGAAGTTGTTTAAAATCGAGTCAACAAATATGTAACATGCTCAGTAACTGTATGAAACAAAGAAATGAGACTGATTTGACATGATTTATTCTTAGTGGACCCCAGCTGGCTAGGGCCTCCTATTTTCTTTCTTTCTTTTTTGGGGGGAGAGGTTTTTGCTATAGGGGGCATGTGCTCGCCAGCCAGTCAGAGAGAGACAGAGAGACAGAAAGCGAGAAATCGCCCCCCGGGGGGATGGCCATGCTGCAGTCCCTTCTCCTCCATTCTCCTCTTGGGATCTTAGACATGCACACACACATGCCCAGCGTGAGTTTTAAGCCTCCGGGTCCAGGACTCGAACCGCAGTCAACTACATGGGAGCCCAGCCACATAGCCATTATGCTAACTGCTGGTCCCGCTTTCTTTTTTTTAAGACAAAGATTTTTGCTATAAGGTATGTACACTCGCTGGAGAGACAGAGAGAGACAGAGAGACAGAAAGCGAGAAATCGCCCCCCGGGGGGATGGCCATGCTGCAGTCCCTTCTCCTCCATTCTCCTCTTGGGATCTTAGACATGCACACACACATGCCCAGCGTGAGTTTTAAGCCTCCGGGTCCAGGACTCGAACCGCAGTCAACTACATGGGAGCCCAGCCACATAGCCATTATGCTAACTGCTGGTCCCGCTTTCTTTTTTTTAAGACAAAGATTTTTGCTATAAGGTATGTACACTCGCTGGAGAGACAGAGAGAGACAGAGAGACAGAAAGCGAGAAATCGCCCCCCGGGGGGATGGCCATGCTGCAGTCCCTTCTCCTCCATTCTCCTCTTGGGATCTTAGACATGCACACACACATGCCCAGCGTGAGTTTTAAGCCTCCGGGTCCAGGACTCGAACCGCAGTCAACTACATGGGAGCCCAGCCACATAGCCATTATGCTAACTGCTGGTCCCGCTTTCTTTTTTTTAAGACAAAGATTTTTGCTATAAGGTATGTACACTCGCTGGAGAGACAGAGAGAGACAGAGAGACAGAAAGCGAGAAATCGCCCCCCGGGGGGATGGCCATGCTGCAGTCCCTTCTCCTCCATTCTCCTCTTGGGATCTTAGACATGCACACACACATGCCCAGCGTGAGTTTTAAGCCTCCGGGTCCAGGACTCGAACCGCAGTCAACTACATGGGAGCCCAGCCACATAGCCATTATGCTAACTGCTGGTCCCGCTTTCTTTTTTTTAAGACAAAGATTTTTGCTATAAGGTATGTACACTCGCTGGAGAGACAGAGAGAGACAGAGAGACAGAAAGCGAGAAATCGCCCCCCGGGGGGATGGCCATGCTGCAGTCCCTTCTCCTCCATTCTCCTCTTGGGATCTTAGACATGCACACACACATGCCCAGCGTGAGTTTTAAGCCTCCGGGTCCAGGACTCGAACCGCAGTCAACTACATGGGAGCCCAGCCACATAGCCATTATGCTAACTGCTGGTCCCTCTTTCTTTTTTTTAAGACAAAGATTTTTGCTATAAGGTATGTACACTCGCTGGAGAGACAGAGAGAGACAGAGAGACAGGAAGCAAGAAATCACCTCTTAGGGAGGATGGCCATGTCACAATCCCTTCTCTATTATCCTCTCAGGACTTTGGGTACACGTGGACAAATGCCCGGCATGAGTTATAAGCTACTGGATCCGGGACTCGAACTGTGGCAGTCTAACGATGTAACCATTATGCCATCTGCTGGTCCTCCTATTTTCTATAGGCTCATAAACTATTATAACAATAATAATGTCTACTATGTGCCAAGTGCTTTTCATATATGACTGTATTTTATTCCCATGTTACCCATGGGGTATAGGTACTATAATTATCATCACTTAACAAAGGAGGAAACTGAAATGTAGAGAGACTGTGTGATCAATCTCTTTATCTTTTTTTTTTTTTAATTGCCAGAGGGTATGTGCACTCCCCAGAGAGAGAAAGAGGAAGAGGGAGAAAGAGAGTGAGCAAGCTTCCCCAGTGTGGCATCCTCACACTGCAGTCCTTTGTACTCCTCCATCCTGTCAGGATTTTGAGGATACATGCATACACATCTGGCATGTTTTTCAAGCCTTCCAGGGCCAGAAACTGAATCATGATCAGCTATACGGGATCCAGCTCCATTAACCACTGCCCTACGGGCAGCCCAGTGTTTTTTATTTTAAGCAAAGTGTTTATCTGTTGAAGCACTAGATAAAAGGTGATATCTTAAAATTTTCAGGTATACTAAAAAGTTAGGTGACCTCTCACCAGGAATAGAACTATCTTTTTTTTTTTTTTTTTGAGAGGTTTTTGCTATAGGGCACATGTGCTTGCCAGACAGACAGAGAGAGACAGAGAGATAGAAAGCGAGAAATCACCCCCCAGGGGGGATGGCCACGCCGCAATCCCTTCTCCTCCATTCTCCTCTTGGGATCTTGGGCACGCACGCACACGCGCCCGGCGTGAGTTTAAGCCACCGGGTCCGGGACTTGAACCACGGTCGACTACGTGGGAGTCCAGCAACATAGCCATTATGCTAACTGCTAGTCTCCCAGGAATAGATCTAGATGACCAGATTATTCTTTTTTTTTTGAGAGAGAGATTTTTACTGTAGGGCGCGTGCACTCGCCAGACAGACAGAGAGAGACATAGAGACAGAAAGCGAGAAATCACCCCCCAGGGGGGATGGTCACGCCGCAATCCCTTCTCCTCCATTCTCCTCTTGGGATCTTGGGCACGCACGCACACGCGCCCGGCGTGAGTTTAAGCCACCGGGTCCGGGACTTGAACCACGGTCGACTACGTGGGAGTCCAGCGACATAGCCATTACGCTAACTGCTGGTTCCCTACCAGATTATTCTTCAAGGTCTTAGTTCTCCATTTCTCCTTTTCTCTAAGTTTCTCAGTTTTCTCTGAGTATGTCTCTGATGTCATCCAAAATATAAAGACAGCACTTAGAAATATCCAACCAAAGAAATTACAGGTTGCCTATCATTGGGAAGTATTCATGCATAGATGGCAACAGTCACTTGGTGGGGTTTTTGTGGGGAGAACCTCAAGTTATAGATAGATAGTGAAACCAG